GTTCCGACAGGGAATGAACCACTCGGCGATGCTACTCTCTCGCCGCTGCTACTCTCTCGCCGCCGGCCGGATCCACTGGATACAACTTCCTCACCTCCATCACCGCCCTTCCCTTCCCATACAGTTTCCCAACTGCTGCTGCTCCGGTACGTATAATCCCTCTCCCGCCGCCGTTCCCCCACAAACCAGGTTACATTGCGAAGGATCTAGTTGTTTGTTCTGTCCGGAGGGACCGACCCAGCGCCGCTTTAAAGCCAAGGGAACCCTCCCTCGCCGGAGATGTTTATCGCAATAAAACCGGTGGTGCCCGAAACTTGCTCTGACGGGAGGAAATCTTACCGGAACTCACGCCGGAACCATCGGCAAACAGCCGCATCGTAGGTCGCATAATCCGCCGAAGTCTCCTCTGGTCAACAAGAACAAGATGAAATGTTGGGTTGGGCCCAAGAAGAGGGTTATGGTGATGATTGGGCTTTTAGACCCAGTTTTGAATTTTTGGACTAGGCCCAGGAGCATTATTAAGGTTGGGTTTCCTAGATTTGTAAGCTCATTTCTATTGGTTTTAAAATGCAGATTTTTTAAAAATTTATATGCTTTTTGATGGTTTATCTTTTTTGAGAAGTATAAAGTTTTCTAGATTCTTAAATCATGTAGTTTTTTAGTGAGTATATCTCTTCTATTGTGAGAAGACATAAGGTTTTTGGGTTCTCAAACCCTGTAATTTACTCCCGGTGGAAGAGTTCATTTTCATCCACTTCCATCTCTTTGAGCATCGTCGTATTTTCTTCTCTCTCATGGAGAGTGGTCGAGCCTCCGTACTTAATGCCGGGAACTTCAAAGTCACATGGTAACGTGACTAACCTGAGAATCTCCGGCTTTGCCCTGAAGACCCTCTTGACGCATCCAAGGCATGTTTTGGATTCGTTGTCCATTATTTGCGATGATCTATCTGTTTTATGTTTTATTGATTTTCAATTATGTTGTAGCATTTCTGGAGGATATTTAATTTCCTCCCTTTATATTTTGATCGGTTAAATGAATGAAAAGTTGTTGACCAAAAAAAAAAAGAACACCTCTAGGTGGCATTTTTGCGAATATGCAAATATGTACAAAAAAGGTGGCATTTTTACAACTAAATATATAATCTAGAACAATATTAATTTAATATTTTGAATAAACTTTAAATAATATCAATTAATAATAATGTTAACATATAATAGAGTTTGATATAGGGTAAGTGGATGTCGGCTGCATTAGTTGACATTTAACCAAGGAGTGGTCAGTCATGCGTAGCGCAATTACATTTTCCACATATACTTATTCATTATGTGTTTGGTACAATCCTCATTAGTTCTCTCGTAGTATTTATCATATCTCTAGCCACCCCAAAACCAAAGTGTAGAAGACTAGAAGTTGTTATCTTTTGATTATTATACTCTTGCATTAAATGAAGCCCCACGTAGAGAGAACAAATAAAATAAAATCATACACAAGATATATCGATGGCATTACTTAGTTTTTGTTGATTCTAAAACTTTTAAAAATTCTTTATTTGTTTTTGTTTTTATCTCTAGAGATGTTTCTTCCAAACTTCTGTTGACGAGCAAAAAGAAAAACAAAATATAAAGACCTGTGACCCAAAAACAAAAAAAAGACCTTTCCTTATTGCTTAAGGTTTAATTAGTTGTAACAAAAGGTTAACTTCATTTTTCTCTTTTAAATGATCCTCCATGAACACTAATGATGGCGAGAAGGTCAGAAGGCCATCAACAAAAAAGATAATTATTAGCCATTTAATTACATGAATCTTCTGTTTCTACTTTCTTGACCTCAACAAACTTTCGGTAGAAGATTAATTATAAAAAGGTATGAAAAATAAAAATGGTACGAATGTGATGATCGTATTTCAAGTATTAAAATCTATCTACATCATGAAACACGTCAACGCAAATACCATACACAATATATTACCGCAGGAACGTTCTTTCTTAATTTGTTTTGTTGAAACCATAAATTATACTAATAGTATATAATAGGAAAAATTGCAAAAATACTATTTTTTTATGTGCATATTTGCTAAAATACCATTTAGAAGTGTTCGTTTGCAAAAATGTCATTAATTATAGATTTTTAAATCTTATATCTTAAAATTCTAAAAACTAAAAAATATTTTGACCCCTAAACCCTCGTAACTAAACCGTAATAGAACATAATTAAACCAAACATGAATAATATAAAAAAAAAAAATTTTGAAAAAATGGCATTTTTGTAAAATGACATTTGAAAAGTGGTATTTTTTAAAATTTCACTTTATAATACAAGATCACAAGTTTTTGTGCTCAGGATCAAATATTTTTCTAAATCTACCATTCGTTAGTTATACCAAATTTGGATGTTGTTATCACATTCTTCGAGGTTTGAAGAATAGTATAAGGTTTGAAGCTATTTAGCAAATATATAAGGTTATTACTTTTATATTAGTTAGCTTCCAATATAACTAATCTATCCACCACATCTTGCCCTATCAACAATACAATGAGGGTTGAGATACCCTATGAGATACCCACATTAAACTAATACTGAAATCATGCCAAAAAAAAAAATGAGAGATCATGGTAACAATCTCTCAAATGCAATGTTTTGAAAATCAGACAAGATCGACGGTCGAACCAAATTCAACCACGAACCGGATACAGATCCGAGTTGGGTTAACTCTTAAACCCAAGTTAAGTTACCTAGTTCAATAACCGGATAGAACTAGCAAAAACTTAAAAATCGGCAAACTAATCGAACCGCTTTAAACCAAGTTTAAACGAAATTTTACTAATTTGTTAATAA